TTGTGGCCTGTGGAATGTTGGTCCACTCCTCTTCAATGGCTGTGCGAAGTTGCTGGATATTGGCAGGAACTGGAACACGCTGTCGTATACGCTGATCCAGAGCATCCCAAATCCCAAAGCATGCGTCATCTCCGCATGTAATCAAAGAGGCATGTTCTGAACAACTCACGTCTGTCCATCAATCACAAGATTAAGATGTTGTTTTGTCAATGGATGTCAAGAAACTGCACATCCAAACACTTGATCTGAGCATTAGAAATGCATCGCTGAAGTTTGTTCTTAATGATGTGACTGAAAGATAAAGTTTTCATTTATTCTTCACATTTCACAATGGCCTGTTTTGTAAAATATTTTAAATCTTTTATTGAAAGGTACGGCAGTGCCAAGCATATGCAGGAAAGTACTTTTATTTTTAATCTTACAGCGTGCTTGTAATAAACAACAAACCAGCGTTTAAGGCTAAGACAACAAGTGTTTCATTGTTTGAGTGTTACTAATAAAATCACATACCTGCGTACATGCAGCATGTTTCGTAATACGACAAGTAATAATAGCACTATATACTGAAAATTAAGCACTTAAGCAAGCAAAAGCAATTATCATGTTAAAGCTGTTGCAATCATTGTGGTTGAGTGGTTTCAGTGTCTTTTTTTCTTCGGGATCAAACATATATGGCTCTATCACAGCGCTTGCCATCTCGAGGATCAAAAACACAACTATTTTCCTGTTTAATACTGTATAAAGCTGCTTTGACACAATCTGTATTGTAAAAAGTGCTATATAAATAACAGTGACTTGACTTGACAACATGAGGTAAAGGAAGGTTGGATACGGTGCGATGAAGTTAGCCAATCACAGCAGTGGGCATTTACTCCCTTTGCAAGAGGTAACACCCCCTCAAATCCAGTGTTGTTTGCAGACAGTGAAATTTAAGATGGATGGTGGTCATTTGAACAAGTATTGGATCTTTTTGGTGCAAAAACACTTATATACACACATATAAAAATCGCAAACTGCATTTCATGAGCCCTGTGGCTTTTGATGTTTCAGAATTAGTCAGACATGAGTCATAATTATTTTCTGAGGTATTATGGCTCAAATGTCTGTACTGATATTGGAATATTTCTTGGAATGTGCCAAAATATTTATGCAAGGGTCAACCAGTAAATGCCGATTTCCACAGAATTCGAATAGAATTTTCTGTGGGATTTCCATTGCCTAGCTATGACAAGGAAGATTATTTTGCTGGGTGTCAATCATATGTGCTGCACATGTAGCTGTGATTATATGCGCCACACAGCTGAGCTGCATTTGCTGCATCAGTCCTCCACCACATGGAGGCACATTAGTGGTCAAACGTGCATCCTTTATCAACAGACATAAACCAGAAGTTAACAAAAGTTCAAAATATTTAGCCCAGGATATTGAAATGCTTTCTGTGCTGTCGGCAGGTCAGAAATCTTTCCAATCCATAAGATACGAGGCAAAACACCTGCAAAAGAACAAAGATTTGTAGAGCCACTTCACAAGTTTGTTCCGTGCATGCTGGAAGGGGTCGTTAGAGAGTTGACGGAGATGATGAATATTCACTAAAGAGCTCTGATCGTGTACTGATGCCTCAGTAGTGCCAACGCCAATTACAGTCCGTCGCCTTCCCTGCCAGAGCTGCTTAAAGTCAGAATGCTGATCAGATGAGCACGTCAGCGTCAATCCAGATCAGACGCACACCAGGCAGGAAGCCAGATAAAACATCCACCCCTCTACACCCCACAGCCCAAACACAGGAAAGTCTTGATTTACTTGAGCTAATTGGGGCAAAGTCAAGAAAGAAGGGGAAAGTTTCTTAATTTCAGGCCCCCTATGCTGGATATGGATGTCTTCCATTTTAAATTGGAGAAATATGTATTCATATAATTAGTTATGTTGTAAATATAATTTTACTTTGTTATTGTAGTTATTTTAATTGTTATTGTTGTTTTTGTAGTTGTCATCATTAATTTTAGTATTATCATTTGTATATTATTCATATATCCATTATCGAAACCGCTTGTCCTATGTACAGTCACAGGAATGGTGGAGTTATTATTATTATTATTATTATTATTAGTGTTATGCTTTTATCCATCAATTTTCCAAACGGCTTGTTGTTGATGATGATTATAATATTATTATTATTATTATTATTATTGATGATAATGATAATAATAAGTATTATTATTACTATGTTATTGTTATTTTTAGCATTATTATTTGTGTGTTATTTTTAGGTATGAAAAGGCCCTTAACACATGAATGGAGTTATTTATTTTAATATTTTTATTTATTTATTACAATATTTATTATTTTGTTATTTTTATCATTTTATATATTATTTTATTTTAACAGTAATAATTCCAGCATCTGCTGCCTGTCTTTCTTTTGTGGTTTAGTGTGGAAATAAACATGAGTCCTATTCTGCCATATGTTTGAAACCACTCTTAATCACACTCTTTAAGTACTTGCCACCTATGCAGATGATGAATCGTTTTAAACCAATATACATTCTGTTTGTAGATGACTTGGAAGTTCCAGACATGAAAAAAGTTGACTGTCCAGACATTGTTCTGCTATTTTGGCCATTCTTTTGTTTTTAGGCTGAATGATAACTGGTTTTGTTTGTTTTCCAGCAATGTCTAAAGCAGCAGTGAAGATCTCAGGGGACTTGTTGAGCAATCCGTTGTGTGAGCAGGATCTGGCTTTCCTTGAATCCATGAATGGTCTGGATACAGCCATGAAGAGAATGGATGCCTTCAATCAGGAGAAGGTGAGATTCAGTTGTAAATGGCTGTGTTTCCCAATGCATAAAACATCTCTTCTTCTTATGACTTTTACATTTAATTGAAATGGACTTATGTTGAATTATAAATACTGAACAATCCCATTTATCTCAATGGCAGTTGCTTGGCTGGCACATGACCCAGTAGAAGTATTCAATTTAAAATCTGCCATCTTGATGGCTCATTGGTGCTCAGTTCTGTTGCCAGTTGTTTTTTTTTTTTCCTGAGCCGGAAATGCCAGTTGCTGGTTTAGGCGTGTTTCCAGATTGTTTTCTTGGGCAGGCTGGTGCTGAATTGGCCCTCACAGCACAAAGTCTGACCAACCAATAATCACAGCTGTGAAATATCCCCAAATACCATTCCAGCCTCATTCTACATCAGACCTATTCAACTCTGATCTTGGAGGGCCACTGTCCTGCAAAGTGTAGCATCAACCTTAATCAAACACACCTGCATAACATTCCAAGTAATCCTGAAGACCTTGATTAGCTGTTCAGGTGTGTTTGAACTCTGCAGAGACTAATCATTCAAACCTTGACCGCTTGGATGTGCTTGGTAGTTTTTTGTTTATTTTGTTTTGGCCAATATGTTGTCTTTGACTTATACTGACACCTAGTGCTGTCAATGCGGCATCACACAAATATTTTCAGTTACTGATATCTTCATAGAAAATTTGCAGCAAGTCAGGATTTGTTTATTCTGTGAGTGAAAGTGTCAAATTGTGCGTAATATTTAGCTGATCTCAAAATGTCTGCTTCCATGAGGCGACTCGCTCCCATGTAAAATATGAGTATGAGAACATTTTCCTTAATTAAATATTTTCAGTTACTGATATCTTCATACAAAATTTGCAGCAAGTCAGGATTTGTTTATTCTGTGAGTGAAAGTGTCAAATTGTGCGTAATATTTACCTGATCTCAAAATGTCTGCTTCCATGAGGCGACTCGCTCCCATGTAAAATATGAGTATGAGAACATTTTCCTTAATTAATACTCATTTCTGTATGGCTAAAACTTTTTAATGAGGAAAAAGTTACTTTCTTCCATCTTTAAATACCATATGCTCCGCCCCCACTTCGACCAGAAGTATTTAGGCTTTGTAAGCTGCCTCTTATTAGGCAGTGATGCTCATTTGCATAATAAGCAAGTGAGTGTGAGACATGTTTATGTTTTGAGCATATATTGCCGCCACTAGATCTGGCTTACTCACCTCTAGGCCCACTCAGAATCTGTACACTTTTTTCCTTCCGTATTTTCTGTGCTAATTGGGGGGGGGAATCAGTGGAATTCTGCAGAATGGATTCCAATATGGTAAAATGTGTGTGTTGCACTTGTATTGGTAGTTGAAAGCATGATTGAATTACCCAAAATATTTAATAATGTCCGCACACATGCTTAAAAACAAACCAGCATTATGTATCAAAGTCTCTCAAACGCTGGGAATGGGAACCAAAGATGTTCTATACATTTGTTTCTTCATCCCACTTTCCAAATCAAGTGATAATGCACAGGAAAATGCAGAATGTTTCTTTATATAATACTGCTTAACACATTTACACACCCACAAGTGTGTCAGCCTTTCTGAATCTCCACTCAGAACACACACAGATTATGGTCTCAGCTGAAAGTCATCTAGTCTTTTGTTAACTGTTTTAGCTTATCTCTTTCATGCTTAAGGGTACAGTGTTTATAACTCAAACATTTTATGCTGCCTTTGGTTATCAATCCAAATCATTACTGACTTCTCCACACCATCGGTCTTTAGGTGCGTTCACTGTTGTTCAGTGGATTTTTATGGCCGAAATACAGTAATTTCAATTGGAACCCACGCAATTGGAAACTTCATATAAAGATTTTATGATTTTGCAACAAGATGATAATGGAAATTGGCCATGTTGACCAACAGAAAGATGCTTGGTTTGAAAGTGACTTTGGAGTTGTACTTCATACTTCACTGCTTTGCTCACAATCGACAATCAACCTTTTTGCCCATGAAATGTTGCCAGAACTTTGCTAATGCGACCACATCTTAAATGCATATATTTGAAATTCCTGTGCAATGTTTTATTCCCCAGTAGCTGTTTATATTGGTCTTCCCAATAACCATCCATATGACCATATGTAGTTGGCTAATGTTTATGTATAACTTGACTCTGTTTAGTACGTCTCAAAAATGAACCATAGACCAACTTCATTTCTGCCTTGCAATGCCTTCTAACCCATGTTTATTTTCTACTTTTGGCCGAGAGAAATAGTTGCGTTTCTGACTTTGGCAGAAGTACGTTCTGTCTTCCCTCCAGCAGATTGGGTATGAGTAAGTTTTTCTCACAGCAGACCCCACGCCCTCCACACTCAGTGTGCACATGCATCTTCAAATGAGTCCCATCTCTGCGTTGCTATCTTCTGTTTCCTGCTGCTGGTGGTACTGATTGTTATCTTTTTCCTTTTTTCCCTCTTATTTCCCCACGTTGGAGTCAGTCTTTTCTTTTGAAAGTGGTTAAGAGCCCTTAAGCGATACACTCAGCGCTGACTGCATGTCAGAAGAGTAGCACTCATCTTCTCTGGTCTATCGCCTACAACCTCCGCCCTGGAAACTGGGCCCTTCAACATTCCCAATGTATTGAACTCTATGGGGTGAAGCGGCAAACCACCGCACTACTCCCAGTGTCAGGCATTATAACATGATGCGCAGAAGTTCAGACAGTTTCAACTTTGACTTTTTCTGCTGACTATTCAAAGCTCAGCTATTGTTTACCGGACAATTTTCATAATGTATTATGTGGACAGAGCTGGAACAAACATCAAAAAATGAAGGAAGAGAGACTGATCCTCTGCAAGTAGCTACACTGAATTTTTTCTGTAAAACACCAATGACTTATGGCTTTCAGAGAAAATAAGTTTGAAGACTGGAGTAATGGCTATTGAAAATTTAGCCTCCATCACAGGAGTAAATTGCATTTCATTTAGAATTAAGAAACCTTTGTTAATGGCAACACCGGTGGTCGTTAAGTGAACTGCACCCAGCAGCTTATTTATAAAGTATATTATATTTAAACCTGTAGATAAGGGGTGTCCAATCCTGCTCCTGAAGGGCCAGTGTCCTGCAAGGTTTTGCTCCAACCCCTTAAACATACCTAAACCAGCTAATCAAGGTTTTTCTAGGAATACTAGAAACTTTCAGGCAAGTGTGTTGAGTTGGAGCTAAACTCTACAGGACCAAGGTTTGGGCACCCCTGCTATAGACTATATTGATCTGGCTACATAGATGTGAGACTATAGTTTGAATTAATCCCTTCTCTTTGCATGACACATTGACATTACAGCACAGAATAGCTCTTGCAGCATTAACCTGAACATAAGCATTCGTTTCATGTGTCAGAACAGAAGAGAGGTTTTCGGGAGCATGCGTAAATTTGTCCCATTATTTCGATTTTCCCGGCAAAAACGTCCAAAGTCTTTCACATAAAAATCAGTCTATAGGCTTTCAACCTAGGAAGTCGGGGAAGGTCTCAGGTAAGTTTGTTACAAGTTGTTTACACATTGACAACAAAAAAGCAATAAATACATGAATATTCTAACATACAGCCCCTTTAAAAATATTTAAAAAAAAGAAATTGTAGCAATATTTTACAATATCGCCGTTTTTTACTGTATTTTTGTTTTCCAAATAAATGCAGGCTTGTTTAGTGAGACTATATTCAAAAACATTTAAAATCTTAATTAATCCAGACTAAACTTAAACAAACAAACAATGAATGAATGAAATGTGAGTATGAATAAATAAAATGTATATAAAAAAATTTATATATTTTTTTAATTACTTTTTTTATAGAGTTTCACTGAAATTTTTCACTGTGATACTGTGCCACTCCAGTGAGCTCTTAAAGGGATAGTTCACCCAAAAATGAAAATTCTGTCATTAATTATGTTGTTTACGTTCAGTAGACTGCGCGCATTCTGAACGTAAACAACTCTCATTACGTTGATTTCATTCTGGGGTAAGCTCCAAAATGGCGGATGACGGTAACTCTGGGAGAAGAATTGCTGAATAAATTGTTATTATTGTTTTCTTTGAACACAAAAAGTATTCTCGTAGCTTTGTAAAATTACAATTGAACCCCTGATGTCACATGGACTATTTTACCGATGTCCTTGCTACGTTTCTGTGCGTTGATTGTGGTAATTTCATTGCTGTCTATGGAGGGACAGAGAGCTCTCAGATTCCATCAAAAATATCTTAATTTGTGTTCGTAAGATGAACGAAGGTCTTACGGGTTCGAAACGACACGAGGGTGAGTAATTAATGACAGAATTTTCATTTTTGGGTGAACTAACCCTTTAACTTGAATTTTAAATCAACAAATCAGTCTAATTTGTGAGTAAATGTTCAGTCTGAATCGGATGAACTAATTTAAAAAAATCAACTCAAAAGAATGATTCATTTATTGATCCAGTTTTTGAGTTTAATTCACTGATTAAATTATTCGATCGCAGGTTTTTGAGTTAAAAGCTCAGTAGAGAGGAAGATTATGTGTGAATAATTTGTAACCTCTGGCTTGCCATATAGCACGAAAATCACAGACTGATATTGAGGTGTTTTTTTTATTTTTTTTAGGCCTGTTTGTTTTTTAAGCTTGTTTTGTACATTATGTTTGACTACATGATCCCCATTTACATAATGCAAATGGTTCCTTTTGTAGTGTTGATAGGGTTTAATTTACTCCATATTTTTGAATATGGTTGCCCTCAGCTGATAATCAAAGCCATCAATAGCTGCTCAGTCAAACACGTTGTGGATATTCGCTCATGCACAAACCTGCCAGTGCGAAAAACACCGCGAGTGCCTCTAGCTGTAATGCAATCCGCAGCTCGGCAGATCTCAGAAATAGCAGATTGAAGCCTGATGCAAATATCCTTGCTCTCGGCTGACCCCTCTGTCAGATTCACCAAAGCCAAATGCTTTCTACAGCGCTCTCCTCTTCGCCTGAGCACCGTTTTCTCATACTCTACTGTATGGGCACTTGGCAAGCGAACGGCGCTCTATCCGTGGGCGACGAGAGATGTTAGCACAGCTGATTTTTCAGCTCTGCATTTTGCAGTGTGCTGGTGTGAATTACCACCCTGGGATGCTTGAATGGTTAATAAGACTCCCATGAATCACATAGCAAACCTGCAACAAACTCCCCCTGTTCTTCAGATTGAGAGGTTTTGTCACGGTAGCCAAACAAATCATATTTGTGTTATATAAAGATAACCAAACCGTCGTCTTCCCCACTCCGTCGAGGGAAAGATGGATTGCCCCAGGGTGGATGCGAATAGGTGGGGAAATGTTATGGTAATATGTGTAGCTTGATTCTAGGCCTGCGCTGGGTATTTTTAAGTCATGTTTTAGCAGCTTTAAGGCCTGTAGAGTTTTAATGGTTAGTAACTAAGCAGCTATGGTGGGGAGGAATATCGATTTTTCAGGGTTGGTATGCATTGTATGTACTTTTGGGTGTTATGTATTGTATGTGTGTGTGTGTGTGTGTGTGTGTGTGTGTGTGTGTG